CTCCTACAACTTACCATGTTGGACAAAATTTCTTTTAGAAAACATCTTTGGTTCAGAGTGAAGTTTCTAGTCAAAACAAGAGTGAGAGAGAGCAACAGAAAGCAACTTTCCCCCGAGGTCCTGAACAATTCTTGCTCACGCTGTGGGAATTCTGTGTTGTTTCAGTCCTGGAGTACATCAGCATGTAACATATCACTTTAGACAGGAAACATAACAGAACATTCTTGGATGTGAACCCAATATCTTTTCATGCAGCAGTAATAGGGATTTGTCAGAGGATAAGGCTATAAAATAATTAATGAGCACTTAAGATCTTTGGGGTAGGCACTGTCTTTGGGGTAGGCACTGAGCACATTTTGAAATGGTGTATGATTTATATAATAATGCTGGTAAAGATCTTTCTGGCCAATCTGTGAGAAGATATTAGTTTGGTGGCCAACTTGTGTCTCCTGTGAAGTGGTGAGCGAAATTCTCATTGACTCCAGCATATTGGAGGATCAGACCTTGGTTTGTTGGGACTCCTGAGCCCTGTTCCTACTTCTGTTGGGCCATGTCAAATTATGGTATGGAGATTGCAATTGTCTCATTCAAAAGAGAATTTGATGTAATATTAACTACAGAGTCATTAACTATCTGGTGACTCTATAACGTCATGCAGCGATTACAATTTAAATGTTTTCTCTTTGTAGGGACTTGTGAATATTTCACCTAGTGCCCATACCTGCTGGGTATGGGCAGTAGTGCCCACCAGAGTAGTTAAACACCAACTCTTGAAGCAAATGTTCTGAGATGAGGTGACCTCTAGTGCCTCAGGGCACTTTTACACTCTGAGAACCACTCTAAAGCGCCATCGTGTCTTGTGTATAGTGTCCCCATGCTTCAAGATTTAGACTTTTTGGGTTAGTCCTGCTCCCAGAAACTTTCATGATAAGGGTGGGGTCAAATGGTGGGTTTTGTTTTTCCAGAGGTGGGGGAACATTCTATGTGTTTTTTCTGAGGGAGACCTATTGCTGAGTGGTTTGTAGGGCCTTTCTATGTTAAATAATAGTTATTGGGCAGACACATTGAGATATGACAGGCATCAAAGAATTTGGTTTAAAACAAATTAGGGTCTGTGTCTGTAGTGCCACTGGAACCACTGTTGGGCTTAGAGGCTTCACTGGTTATGAGAACCTCAGCTCCAGGGGCTAAACACCCTGTGACAGTTTCATTGGTGCTAAGCCTGAATTCATCTCTTCAGAAAATCTTGAGTGCATGCCTTTGAGGATAGGATAGATTTGGTACAGAGTTGGTAATAGTGGGTACATCTACACGACACACATACTGCCTAATTAGGTCCACAGTGAAGTGTCAGTGTCTACACGAGCGGTGCTATTAAGCGGAGTAAATTAATTAACTCCACCATAGGATAGCACTGCCCATCACAAGTACTATTCTATGGGAGAGTTATCTACTCTGCCACAATGCACATGTAGATGGTGACCAGAGCTAGCTGGGGCACAAGGGTGCTACAGTGTGGGACTGCCTGCTGGATAGCTGTAGCACCCTTGTGCCCCAGCCAACGCCTCTGCAGCATCTCGAGCCAGGCAGGAACAACCCTGGGCTTGCAGACTGACCCCTTAGGGTCCCCGGCAGCCACTGCTCTGGTTCAACGTGATGCAGTCCCAGGTGCATGCATAAACACTGCACCCAGGAGCAATAAATTCCAGCATGAACTGTGCTGGAGTTTATCTTGTCACATCAATATTCACATGTAGACATACCCAGTCTGTCTCTATATTACGCAGCCACAGAATCTATCTCTAACTTGTCTTCGTTCTTAATCTCAATTTCCCTTTGTCTTTTGTCAAGATGTGCTTGTCTAACTAACACCAGTGGACGTGTGTAGACGAAACAGGGGCCCTAAATTGAAGTGGTGGGTTTTAAAAAACACTGCTTCAATTTAGGGCTGATTAAACCTCTGTGTCGTGCACACACCTCGCTGACTTACCTGTCTCTTCAGCAGGGAGGGGAGGATGAGTTGCTGGCCGGCAGTGCGGTCCTTGGCCTGTGGTGGGGGGCTGTTTCTTCCCTCCATGGTAGCTGCAGCCCGCCCCCCCAGGGGGCACCTGCCTGCAGGCACCCAGCTTGGGCGGTCCTGGGGAATACCGCAGCTGCGGAGGGAAGCACCGGGCCCCTGCGCAGCTCAGGCAGTCTCCAGGGGGAAAAAAAGAAAAATCAGGGTCACCACTTTTCTTGGGTGGAGCTGCTTTCCTGGGTTACTGTCGGACTACCTGCAGGGCTTCCTGCAGAGTTGTAGAGCTGCACGGAGCCTGGTGCTTTGCTCCATGGCTGTAGGGCCAGCAAACTAAAACTCAAAGGAGTTGAGCACCCCAAGTCATTTAAGGCACATTACCCCACCGAATTTCCTACAGTGGCTGGAATTAATGCACAACATGCTGCCAAGGCATGCAAAAACTAACACCATTAAAGTGGTGCAAGAGCATTTAGCCCACTTTAAAGTGTCGTGCGCACATGCCTCTCGTTTTGTCTATACATGGCCAGTGTGTACCATTTGCCAATAGACAATTCTAAATTTTTCAGTCATGTTATCATCACAAGACTCTGAAAGAGAACTTATTCCATTATGGAACCTCAACATAGTGTTGACAAAGTTGATGAACTTTTGAAGTCTCTGTGAGTACTCCCTTTTGTTCCCCTTGTTGCTATAGACAGGGTGTGTTGACATGACACACTTACTGTGCAGTAGCCTAATAACTCTGCACAGTTGTGTGCTGGTCACAAACCATGCTAATAAGCTACTACACAGTGTCATTAGGCTACTGTGCATTAATGGTCACAAAAAACCTTGCACTGGTGCTACTGCATAGTAAATGTAGTTACTGCACATTCAGTTAGTACTTCGTTAAGGAAGTACTAAACTAAATGTGCAGTAACTACAGCTCATTAATGAATGTGTAGATATGACCACATTAGACTACATCCTTAGCTGGTGAAAACTAGTATAACTGAAAGAACTGAAGTAATTGGTATATATATGTAGCCATGACCCTGAATGAGTGAGCTGGGCTCAGCACTCTTGCCACTTTATGAGCCATTGCTTTTCAGCTGGGGTTCTTACAGTTCGGGAGCATTAAGTAACACATCTTACCGGTATTAACACTTGGAGGAAACATTTTCAAAGAATCACTACTAGTGCGGTAAGCATAGTCTCCTCCCTTTCAAATTGTTTAATCTAGGCATTATGGATTTATTTATATTTTTTAATTATCATTTGTGATTCTGATGGATAATAAATGTTTCTTATGAAATTATTTTATCTCTCTGCCTATTTTCAGGAACAATGTATCCAAACTCTACAGTCAGCAGTGTACATATTTTATGTATACTCCTTGGGTTAGGGACTCTACCTTTTTTATAGCTATGGACAGGCATTCATTTCTACAAGTAGAAAAGTAACCCAGGAGTTGGAGCATACATGTGTTCCAGCCCCCTGGATGGAAAGCTTCACAGGCAAGCTCTCCAGCCAAGAAGCACTAGGGCTAGGGACAGAAATTACACATAAATGGATATAAGTGATCAGAAACTGGTTTAGATCTATAACACAACAGAAGTTCAGTGCATACAAATTGTTTTCAGAATGGCTGAAACTAGTTTAAGATAAACCTGGATGGATGTAGTAACAGAATTGACTTATTTAATTTAAATCAGTTTTTTGAACTTCTGCTCCAGAGCCACTCCAGATTCAAGTTAACTCACAGTCCCCCAGCATCCCAGGATGCTTTGCACCTTCCCAGCAAGCCTCCCGTCACAGAATGGACAGCCTAGCCTTGGCCCAAGCTGTCTGCTCCAGCAGAGCAGGAAGGTGTGCTCTAGCATCCCTTGGCTTCTGGCCTGAGACACTGCTGGCATATGGCTGCATTTTCAGAATCAAAAGTGAATGTCTGTTCACTTGCTTGTCAGTTCAATCTACGCTGCTTAGACTAACCTGCAAAGATTGAATTGATTCAGCCTTAGGCTTTTTGACTGTCTGTACTGCACCCTGGACCACCCTCACCCTTAGGGAAGCCAGTTAATTGACATCCTGCTCTATGCTCTGTCTGGGAGGGGGGCAGGCTCCCAGTTGGTAGTTAAGCGCAGCTGTCCCAGACAGAGGGGGAGGGTTTCAGCCCCTAGTGTTCACCCTCCCTTCCTTGGAAGGAGGAAAAGAAAACAGAGAATGGTAGGTTATTAGGTGTCCTCTGCATTTGAGAGATGTGTACAACCATTTAAATTAGGTCAGGAACAGTGAGATTTTCCTCATAGGTGTCTGATTTAACTTGCGGAAGAGCCTTTTCTCTTCCACAAGAAATCTCTTGAATGGCTATGCACCCTCTTTTAGTGCTGGGCTTTTCTCCCAGCACAAATGTAATGCCTGTTCATGGTCTATGTTTGGCTAGCACATTGTGGACACCACCATAATGAAATAATAAATAATTATTATAATGACATTTTAATAAATCTTCTATCTAGCGAGCAATATATTACAGCTATCGCTTCCCAAATTAGTCACTTTATAATATATGTAATGTAATCTGGTATAATTCCATCAAGAGGTTGAGGTAGCTGTATAAGTCATGAGTGACATGCTAATGTTTAATCACCAGGAGCCCAAGATAGAATTTCCTGTGTATATTTACATTTCCTTGTTAACATATTTGTTATATTTTTAAAATACAGATTAAAGCAGCTTGAGTTTGTAAATGTTTCTGATTATATTTAAAAATTAATTAATGTTGTGGAAAAGAAGCAGGAACATTATAGATTATTAGCATTACACATTATAGATTATTAGCAAGAATGTCAGGTTTGCTTTCTATGGAGTATATGAACTAGTACATACTTCCCACAATATATACTCTAAGTGTGTATATATAACAGGTTTTTTATGAAAGAACCCACAGGTATTTATATAGATCTCTACTTACTGTGTGGCCTTTTTTCTTCCCAATGTAACTCAGGTGTAATGTCTTTGCTGAGGCCTCTTCTGCTGGATGTGGTCCCAACTATTCAACAGACGGCTGCTTTGGCTCTTGGGAGACTCGCCAATTATAATGATGACCTGGCAGAGGCAGTTGTTAAAGGAGACATTCTTCCACAGCTTGTGTATTCATTGGCTGAGCAGAATGTAAGAAATTGTGATTTTCTCAAGTAATACTTATTTAACTGCTAGCTAAGTGGGAAAAAAAATCTCAGTCAAATATATTTATTTAAGTGCAGCAATATTTGCACTTAAAGTTATGGACAAAATGTGCATTGAACTTCTGATAGAAAGTCAGATTGAATGAATTGTGTTAATAATTGTGACATAGTAAAATGTTAAAAAATCTACTAATTCTTGACTCATTAACTGGAATATATTCATAAGGTTTTTTTCTAAATTGTTAAATAATGTTTTGTAAGAGGCTGATTTTTAAATGAAATATTTAGATGTGCTGTACTGATAATTGGTTCAGATTGGTTATTAATATCAAAATGTTGTAAGGTGAATATAAATTTAATAGATTTCATAGATTTCATAGACATTAAGGCTGGAAGGGTCCTCAGAAGATCGAGTCCAGTCCCCTGTCCCAGGGGCAGGAAGTCAGCTGGGGTCACAAGATCCCAGCAAGATAAACATCCAATTGACTCTTAAAGGAGTTCAGAGTAGGTGCTGGCACCACCTCTGGCAGCAGTCTGTTCCAGACCTTGGGGGCTCAGACAGTAAAGAAGTTCTTCCTTATGTCCAGCCTGAAACAGTCTTGGAGGAGTTTGTGACCGTTTGACCTTGTCATCCCATGGGGCTCTCTGGTGAACAGATGTTCCCCCAGATCCTGATGTACACCCCTTATATACTTTTAGGCAGCCACCAGATCACCCTTGAGCCTGCGCTTTTCCAGGCTGAAGAGTTCCGTAGCTCTCAGCCTCTCATCATAAGGCCTGTTTTCTGAGCCTGTCAAGATTAGCCTGGATCATCATCCTGTCATCAGGTGTCATCATCCTGTCATCGCTTTACCCCAAAGTTTGGTGTCATCAGTGAACTTTGCCAGTCAGCTTCTGGTACCAATGTCCACATCATTAATGAAGATGTTGAAAAGAATAGGCCCAAGGATGGAGCCTCGGGGAACTGCACTGGTCATGGTGCACCACAATGATTGACTTCCATCAACTACTACTCTCTGGGTCCGACCTCGGCCCCAGTCCCCCAGCCAGCGGACTGTGATGTAGCCGAGGCTGCAGTTGGCCAGTTTTTCTATGAGATGATCATGGGATACCAGATTGAAAGCTTTTTTAAAATCAAGATATATGACATCAATCTCTTCTCCCTTGTCCAGGTGATGTCACCTGGTCGTAGAAGGAGATGAGATTGGTCAGGCAAGACCTGCCCGCAACAAACCTGTGCTGGCTACCGCTTAGGAAGTTGCCTTCAGGCAGTTTGTCAAGAATGGTCTCTTTAGTGATTTTTATCAAGATCTTCCCTGGGATAAAGGTCAGGCTGATGGGTTCCCCAGATCTACTTTCCTCTTTTTCTTGAAGATAGGCACCACGCTGGCCTTCTTCCAATCTTCCGGCACTTCACCTGAGCGCCATGAGTTCTCGAAGGCCAAGGCAGAGATGGAGCTAGGGCTAGCAACCAAAATTAAGGATAATAAAAAGTCCTTTTTCAAATACATAGAGAGTAAGAAGAAAGCACTGGGTAACGTGGGGCCCCTACAGGATAGGCTTGGCAATCTGGTGACTGCGGCAAATGAAAAAGCTGACCTCTTTAATGAATTCTTTGCCTCCATATTCCTGAACAGGGACTGGGACAGCTCCCCCACTAGAATTACGGACAGACCCAGGGGAGGCTCCACCATGCCTAGGTCAGGGATGACTTAGTTAGGGAACTTTTGGAGGGGCTGGATGTGTTTAAATCAGTAGGTCCAGATGCTCTTCACCCAAGGGTGCTTAGGGAATTGGCAGGGGTCATAGCGGGGCCCTCTATGAGCTCTTGTGGGGCACTGGCCAGGTACCAGAGGATTGGAAAAAGGCCAATGTGGTCCGCATTTACAAAAAGGGGAGAAAGGAGGACCCTGGCAATTATAGGCCAGTCAGTCCTACCTTGGTCCTCGGGAAGACCTGTGAGAAAATTATCAAGGAGCACATCTGCAAGGGCTCAGCACGGGAATTAATGCTCAGGGGCAACCAACATGGGTTCATTGAGGGCAAGTCCTGCCTGACTCACCTGGTTTCTTTTTATGATCAGGTCACAAAGTCCCTGGACAGGGGTGTCAGGTGGATGTCATCTTCCTGAAATTTAAGAAGGCCTTTGACACAGTTTCCCACCACAGTCTCTTAAAAAAACTTGGTGACTGTGACATTGATGCCTACACAGTCAGATAGGTGGCAAACTGGCTAGATGGTCACGCCCAGAGAGTGGTGGTGGATAGGTCGTTTTCGACCTGAAGGGATGTGGGAAGTGGAGTTCCCAGAGCTCGGTCCTGGGGCCTGTATTGTTCAACATCTTTATCAGCGATCTGGATGTGGGTGTGGAATGCACGCTCTCCAAATTTGCTGACAACAGCAAGTTGAGGGGCGAGGTGGGCACGCTGGAGGGGAGGGACAGAATCCAGCTAGATCTAGACAAATTACAGAGGTGGGCGGATGAGAATAGGATGGAATTCAATGCAGACAAGTGCAAGGTGCTGCATCTAGGGAGAAGGAACCAGCAACACATCCATAGGCTGAGGAACACCCTTCTTGCCAACACAGTGGCAGAAAGGGATCTTGGAGTCATTGTTGCCTCCAGGATGAACATGAGCCGCCAGTGCAAGGAAAGGGTCAGGAAGGACCTTGTCATGCATCTACAGATGCATCGCAAGCAGGTCTAGGGAGGTGATCCTTCCCCTATATGCGGTATTGGTCAGGTCACAGTTTGAGTACTGCATCCAGTTCTGGGCGCTGCACTTCAAGAGGGATGTGGCTAACCTTGAGAGGGTCCAGAGGAGGGCCACTTGCATGGTCAAGGGGCAGCAGGGCAGGCCCTATGAGAAGAGGCTAAAGGGCCTGAACCTATTCAGCCTCCACAAGAGAAGGGTGAAAGGGGCTCCGGTGGCCATTTACGAACTCACCAGGGGGAACCAGTGAGAATTGGGGGAGGCTCTGTTCCCCCGGGCACCACCCGGGGTTGCTAGGAATAACGTCCACAAATGGTTAGAGAGAAGATTCATGCTGGACATCAGGAGACATTACTTTACTGTTAGGGCTGCCAGGCTCTGGAATGGGCTCCCAAGTGATGTGGTACTCTCTTCTACCTTGGGGGTCTTTAAGAGGAGGCTGGACAGATATTTGGCTGGGGTGATATGACCGTGGCACCCGTTCCTGCCCAGGGCAGAGGGTCAGACCTGATGATCTGTTTAGGTCCCTTCTGAACATAAGCACTATGTCACTAGGTCACTAAGATCCATGCCAATGGCAAAGCTATGATGCTTGCCAGCTCCTTCAGTACCCTGGGACGTAAGCAATCTGGGCCAGCTGACTTGAAGGTGTCCATCCTCTCAAGGTGTTCCTTCACATGGTCAATGTTGATAAAGGATAACGATTCTAACCTAGGTTAACTTTCAGATGTACCTCCTGATAACCAGAAAAGCAGATACTTTTTAAATTGTGGCCATATTTTAACTGTATTTAGTTTGTAGCTTTGGTTTCTTAGGATGTGTCTACACTTTCACTAATGTGTCTACTGCATTTAAGTTTAGTACCTCTCATATGAGGTACTAAATAAAGGCACAGTAGATGTGCTAAGTAGCTGTGTTAAGTACTAAGAAAGATTTTCATTGTTACTCTTAGGAGAAGTATGGCTTTAGTCATAATAAAATATGATAATAAATGATACTTGGTAATATCAAAATAAACTTTTGTTCATTCCAGTATGCCAGGATTATATGGAAGGTAAAGTAAGGCTTTTATTAGACAAAGTTATAAGCAATTGGTTAATTTAACTGTATTTATAAGAAAGAGAGTTACAGTAATTTCCTTATCTTGTTTATTTGAAAAAAAACTGCACAAAATTAGTATGGTTGTCATTATGTCTATCTTTCATGTTACTATCTTATCTGTGCTGTTGGTGTGTCTGGGAGACAGTCATGATTTAAAATCACTTGGAGCATCAGCAAGATTAGTGTAAGGTCATGGAAAGCCTACTGTGCTTTAGTGATTGAGGGCAAGTGAAGGAAACTAATTATCCAGTTCATACAGAGTTTAGGAATACACAGAACTAACCTGATAATTCCTGTGGGCCAAAAGAGCACATATCTATTCTGTTCACTTTTATATATATATATAGAAAGGATCAGATTCTCCAAACACTAAGTAAAACTTTTCCTTCTGTACATGTACCCACTAAACAGGATCAGACCTTAAATCAGAGTTTTGTCAACTAAGTGGAGAAAAGTAAAAAGATCATATTGTATTCAAAACTTATTTGTGAATGTGTTTTATTTTAAAAAATGTATTCTGAATCACAGTAACCCCTAAAAGTATGTCTGCTTGCCCAAAACCTAATTATTTACTAGGAATTGCACAGGCATGCACACATGCACAGACATACACACATGTACATATGTACTAGGGCAAATCCTCTATTGCTATACATTGTCATGGACTGAGCACTATCAATCCGGCCTGAAGGGGAGAAAAGGTTGGGCTTCTGTAAATTGTCATAGCACTATTAAGTCAACAGAGCCATCTGTAGGTTGGATATGGCCAGAGGGCCCGATCTAGCATTCAGGGCTGCGGGGTGGGGCCTTATCCAGTCGTGTGGGGAGGTTGGGGAGCCACACAACCCTGATTAGGCCCTGCAGGGGAAGGGGGCCTGCCCCAGCCTGTATCTGACCACAGGGGGCAAGGGGACATGGCCTGGCTCTGATCCAGTCACAGTGGGGAGAAGGGGCTTGGACCGGCCCTAATCCAGCCAAGTTGGGGGGTGAAGGTGTGACCTGGCCCTGATTGGGCCCTGTGGGGCTTGGGAATTTGGCAGCAGGGGGAGGGGCTGGGAGTATTACTTGCCACTGCTACCATGCCACCAAATTTCCCTACCCATGGGGGGCCTTGTGGGTTGGATGGCATGGCTCTGCAGGCTGCATTTGGCCTGCAGGTTGGAGGGTGAGCCCTGTTCTAGTCACCAGAACACTGCTCCAGAATGTGGAAGAGCTGAGGTCAATTCCTTCCTCTGCCCATGGAGAGTCCAACCCACATTTCCCACCAGAGTGCCCTCACCAGCAGACTGGTGTTGGCACAGAGTCACGCACAGTCTCTTCCTGGCCTCATGAATCTTATGCTTTGCAACACAGTGGCACAGCATCATCAAGAAAGGTAGAGTGACTGTCCTCTCCTCCCCGCCCACACCCATTAGACCAGGGCAGCCTGTAGCTTGGTGGTGAGATTACTTTCCTGTGAGCTAGGAGGTGTGGCTTGAATGCCCTGTGGGGTTTCAGATTAGGATGGGGAGTGTTCTAATTACTAGGATGTTGCACAGGAGAAATTATTTCTACATCCCTATTTTTAAAAGAAAAGAGTAGCCACTCCCACTCTTGTGTGGACCTCAAAGTTGTTGTTCTTGTTTTTGTGTGCTCTGAGAACACCTACTGGATCAAGCCTTTTGAGGGAGATAGAGGAATGCAATGGTTTTCAGCCTTTATAGATTCAAGGCATCTGTTTAAACTTAAGGCACCCTCCCATAGCTTGTGAGGATTGGGTGGCACTCCTAAGGCTGGGGGGACACGGCAACCACCCGCAGGCAGCAACGCAGCCGTTAGCAGCAAGGGTGGGCCAAGCGGGGACCATCCACAGGCAGCCATGGCAGTGTTGGGGGGGGGGTCCCCCGCAGCTGGACACACGGAAGTGCCAGCAGTGCACGCAGAAGTGGCAGTGGCACTTTTTGGGGGGGAGGGGGTGAGCACCAGCGCTCCACCTGCACCCCCTGCCCATCATCTAAGCCAAGAGCACTCACTCTCGGGGGGGGGGGGGGGGGGGGGCCCCCCCCCTATGTGTCACCTATGGTGGCAGCCCATTTCAAAAACTTATACAGTGCTTACATCCTTGCAGAGGGGCCAAGCAGCAAGGGTGCAGGAATTGCTAGGCAAGAATCGAGCCTGAGTCCACACTTATCTGCTTGTCTCCTTGCACCCCAAAGCAGTCTTCGAAGGATATTGCAGCACGCCTGGGTGCCTGAGTACACTGGTTGAGAATCATTGACCTAATAACATCTAGAGTAGTAATTGTCAATTATAGTGCTGCAGCACTGTAATTACTATTAGCACTGTTATGTGTGCAAACACCTACATATGATTCACAAGATAAACTCAGAGATTTCAAATAGGATTCCAGAATATCAAAAATGTGTGGTCTGTTGTGTTCTCTATGAAGTCTTTGCAACAGAAGAATTGTTCTATTATTTTTCCATAGTCAAGAAACAAGTGACAGCTAAGAGCTGGCATTTTCCAAGGTGTGCATTGAATATGAAAAAATTGAGAACCACTAATCTAGACACCAAGCTGCTCTATCCTGTCAAGACAAGGATGCTACTTTGCTTGCATTAAAACAGAACTTTTCAGTTGCCCAGGAACTTCAAGGTCAAAAGCTGAGAAGCCTATTGTCAAAATCCTGGATTATGTGTTCTCTATGGCAGGGCACTGTACACAAATGAATTGTTTCTGCTTTGCCTTGTACATTGGAGTCCTAATTTGGGTCCTTCTGTACTACTGCAGTACAGATTTATCACTAATAATGCAATTTCATTTTCTGTGTCCTAGTCGCTTGTTTTTTGAAGCAGCAAATATTAGTAAAAATAAGATATCCTCCTCTATTTTTTAGCGTTTTTATAAGAAAGCAGCTGCATTTGTGTTAAGAGCAGTTGGTAAACATTCTCCTCAACTTGCCCAAGCAATAGTTGATTGTGGAGCACTGGATACACTTGTGATTTGCTTGGAAGATTTTGACCCTGGAGTAAAGGAAGCTGCATCTTGGGCACTTGGATATATTGCAAGACATAATTCAGGTAACAGGGTTTTTTGTGTGCTTTCATATTAAAATTGCTTAAAAGTGATAACAAATTGTAATAAGAAGTTTCTTGTAATTTATAACTCAAAAAATATTTGTTGTCCTTGTAAGGAAACCAGTCTCCTCCCTGCATTTTATGTCCATCTTTCTGCTGATGAAAACTCTTTGCATTGCCTAGCTCACCCCCTCACATTTCATTTTTCTGCAGTCATGCTTCTACTTTTACCTATCCAACTACTTATGCACTTTCTGCATGTATTAGTGACTGCACTTCATACTATACTCCCTCTTCTATGGACTATTCCATCCTCTATGGTACCATCCACCCTCCTACCCCAAAAGTTTTATTTAGCCCGTTTTTTCCTCCTTTCCTTTTATCTTTACCATTATTATGAATTGCCATTTTTTACGCTAACAATGTTCAAATGTTCATGTTTGACACCTTCTTAGGACTGATATAAAGTGTAGTAAAGTCAAAGGACAAACTTTGACTTCACTGAGCATTGGATCAAGCTCTTATTGACTTCCACCTGCTTGCCTTTTACTTTTCCTAGTTGATTGAATTTAGGCATGTAACCTCTTCCTTTAGATGAATATCTCAAGGCATAAGTGCTTGTTGGGAGCAAGAGAAGAACCCCTACCTGAACTCAATTCCCTCCATCTCCCTTCTTGACATAGACCTTCCACTGCTTCCATGGTCTGTAATCTCAGTGTCATATTTGACTCTGTACTTTTCTTATTGTTCTGTTTTCCATCTCTGCACATGTGCTTGTTACCAACTCTGTAAAAGTGCCCAAGCTTCACTCTACCTCGGATGAAACCTTCTGTTTTAATTTTTGACAATAGCAGCTCCTTTTTACAGGCCTCTCAGGTCCCAGCACATGCAAAATAATACTGTCTATTTACTTGCATGTACAGACAGGCACTTTCACATCCATTCATTTGTCTTGTCATCAGACCCTGTCCTCCTCTTGCTCTGTGAAATCCTGCCACTTCTTTGCAGAGGATGCTGCCTTTGCAGTTCCTTGTGCCTGGATCACCTGTGTTCTATGTTTTTGTCTCTGTTTGTTTTCAAAACGTCATCTGGAAAAATATATTTTTTCTCTCCTTAACCCTTTCCTCACGCAGCTTAAACTTTGCAGCTGTATATTTTAATTTGTGTGTGGTTAGAGGGCAACTCCTTTGGAGGAAAAACACTATGCAAAGTGAAGATGTATTCAGCAGTAAAGGGATATGGCCAGGTGCCCAGGGCACAGGGACAATGGTGAATTTCAGTTGCCGCTGTGCTGCTGTCATGATCACAATTACACTTTTTAAGCAAAAAAAAAAAAAAATGCTTTTACATGTGCACTTTTCAAACAAACACAAGCAAATGAAAGGGTTTCTGAAAACAGATGATCAGTGTTCTTTGACCACTGTTCTCTTCTACATTTTGGCAGGACTCAAGGTAGGTTGTATAGAATTGAAGACTGTATAGGCAGAAACGGTCATTTGGCCAGTCATATAGAGAGAGTACAGATCTCATGACAGTGTGTGCAAAGTATTTGTTGGCATAGTGGGGGACTGGTGGGATTGTGGGCATGAGAAGCAGGTGAAATGGTGGGATTGTGCATGGCAATGAGGAGAGGTAGTTGAATGAACAGGAAATGAACTGTTGGAATATTGCAAATGTCCTTAAATGCTGACATGAGCAAACATGAGGCCTGATACCTGCCCCACCTCAAAGTTGGAAAACCTCCACAAATGTACTTCACAGAGATGCCTCCATGATTTTTTTTTTTGTTGGGGGTATAGTTTGCACATTCCTCTCCCTAAAGTATAGGCCACAGGGACCATCCACAAGCTCGTGAATCTTTGGGAACCAAAGGGAGTCCCAGGTCTTCTAACTTCTCACAGTCTCTGAGGATCCTTCATTTCTCTCCCTCAAAGACAGCAATGATGTGAAAGCTTCTGTAAAAGACTCTTTTTTAAATGGAGTTCCACCACCCATGTCATGCCCAGGCTGCATTACATTTTTCTTTTTGATTATGTTAGGAATGGGAAGAGGGGGATGAGCTGAAAACCTTACTGAGGAACCTTGCCTCAGTCTGCTAACTCCTCTACCAACCCAACTATAGTGGGCCCATATCCTGGGTAGGTTGCTGCATGATTGGTGCCTATACAAAGTATGGCTCTAGTAATTTAAATGATTTTCTCTTACAAACAGTGTTGAAAAAAACTGATACATATTTAAATAGGACAAAAAGTAATGATCAGTATTTAAATAGTTCATACTCCTGCATCTTCAGAACAGATTTATACCAAATCAAATTTAGTTTTTGCTCTTTTTTAAATTTTGTGGATTTATTTTTTCATTTTAAACTAAAGTTTTTGGATTTAGTTGTTATGCTAAAATATGCCACTTCTCTTCTTCCTCATTGTTTATGAAAGAGGTTGATGGTATCCTGACAATAAGGAATGAAATATTTTTTTTTTCAGCAGCATCACCTGTCTTCTTGAAGTGATGTCCTTGGCATCATCTTGGCAGTCTTCAGGCAATTGAAAGGGTGGCTTTCAAGTGGCTTCTAAGGAGTTTGTTACATTAGTCAGCTAGTTATTTGGACTACCTGTCTTTATGATTCTCAAAATCCTTTCTCTTTAACAGAGTGTTTATTAGAAGTAATTTTGTGTTTATGTCTCATAATATATCATACAAAAACACATTTTGGAAGAGATGCAAATATTGCTTTTGTATGTTTAATGTATTTTTACTGAAAAAATGAGTATATTATGCCACTAACATTTTAGATGCATACTCACGTAACTTCTTGGGTAGATTAGGTTTTTGGTTTGTTTTTAATTAATGAATTGTGATGCATACTCTGACACAGTTATGTTGAAACCATAGCTCTACATATATATTTGTGACTGCTTTACCTTGGAGCTGTATGTAGCTGCCATGGATTATATAAATTAGGAATGTATGATGTGTGTGTATATGCACACCTAAACTAACTATTTTTCAAAATGGTTATTTGAAAAATAAACCATTGAAAATTAGTTCTGTAATAATCTCTTTAAAATATTTGTAGTCCTAATTTATTTATGAAAGGAGTATTCACGTTTTATGTAAAATCAATTGTATAATGTAAAAATAGTACTTTCAACACATATTAGAGTGTGCATGAATGGTCGACCAGTTCAAAAAATGTATCTAGTTACGAAGATTATTTAGGTATTAACATAGAAGACACAGGCAGTGTAATGATGACATGACTACACATCATTCATGAAAATTCATGTTATATGTAACCTAATATGCAATCTCTTTCTTAATATGAAAAGCTTTTATTGATGGATAGTAAATTAAAAGCTAAATTAGGTCCTTGAAATACAATAGCCATATGTTGCCATGGTGCTGTAAGCCAAGTTAAATGTTAAAGATAAGAATGGATGTGCATAGCAAGAAGACATAGAAAAGCCTTATTTTAAGAATCTAATAGGTCATTTGAATTTAATGCAATTGTATCCATTTTCAACATCTTAAAATAGCATAGCTTGGCTGTCACGTAATTTTTGTTCTTGTTATCCAATAATTTCTTATTTCAGTATTGTGATTAATGTCAAATATAGCAGAGGGCTAATATATTTCTAATAATGTAATTCTTGAATACGTCAGCTAATCATGTTTTTTGAATTAAGATGCAGTTAGCTACTGAACTCAAACAGGATGACACACAATACTTCTCAGTTAACTAAATATACATTATAACATTTGTATTTAAAGTCATCAAAATGTTATTTTTTCAAATGCATGACAGCACATCCTAATTTTGCTCTGGTAACAAATCAAGTTGCATTTTCAATTAATTGTGTAAAAAAAATATTTTAAAAAAATGTATATAGCTCTATATGATATAACCATGTTATACTTACATAAACAGGACAAAATACTGTCTAATTAGGGTGGTTGGTAAAAATTTGGTACTTTGGCTTTCTCTGTTGTTGTTAGCCGTGCATAAAATGCTTGCCTATTGATCAGTGCAGAATAACCAGGGCTTAAACAGCTGACATCTGCTTACTTTAAAAAAAACCCCCACACAGAATAACAAACCATCTCAGCCTAATCTACCTCAAATGTGTGCATGTAAATGGGGGTCCATCTATTGACCTGTATTCTTTTCAGTTGTGGATTGGTCCACATGGTTTATGAAACCAGGAGGGCTGATTTGAAATGCAGATGTCGAGACAGTGAAGTACTCCCTCCCCTTTTTTCTTTGCTGTATCTGTCAGGGTGAAAAATGGCTTGCACAAGGGTCAGTCACCCATACTCACTTAATTACTTTTCTTGGACCTACAGAACTGTCACAGGCTGTGGTGGACGCAGGAGCTGTTCCTCTTTTAGTACTCTGCATCCTGGAGCCAGAAATTGCTTTGAAAAGGATTGCTGCTTCAGCCCTCAGTGATATTTCAAAGCATTCTCCAGAGTTAGCACAGACGGTAGTAGATGCAGGGGCTATTGCCCACTTAGCTCAGATGATCCTGAACCCTGATGCTAAACTGAAGGTACTTTTAAAAATATTTTTTTCCAAATTGTACTAGGCATTATTTGTTACTAAGTCCGGACCATTGATACATATATTTATTTTTCAGAAGGGATTGTTTAAGCCTTAACAAAATATAGCTATGCAATTAACAAAGAGTGCTGACTGTTTTGTATGTGGTTATCATATGTATAGGAGCACTAACTCTTCAGAAAGGAACAGTTAAAAACTAGTCTTTTAAATTAATAACACTTGTTTACTAGACCAGCATTGCTTAGAGAAGATCATGTAGCAATATTTTAAAGAATAAATTCAGTACTCTACATAAACCCGTCAGTTTACTTAAAACATTTGTTAGATGTGGGTGATCTAGTTCCGAGGAAATCAAGTTATACATTTCTCATTATATTATGAAAACATTTTAATTTAACAATGTATTTGAGAACACATTAAATCTCTGATTAAAACAGGTCTTGTTTAAGATTTTATATTTATAGTCTAGTTCACAAAAATATATTTCTATTTCTGTGTGCAGTTTTACTGTCTTATTTTAATAGCCTTAAGTAAGACAAATACTACTATTAATGAATATATCTAAGCACTTAGATGGAAATTTGTAGGATTTTTTTGTAGACTTTATTTTCTTTTAAATTGTAGTATTAAATTAGCATTTCTTTTATAAGCAAACTTGAATGGCATAAGCAAATAAAAACTTTTATTTGGGAACTAGTGAAAACTCTCAGTTATTAGATGGATACGTTAATTGACGCAGTGAATTGTATAGTAGCTATGACTATGTATTTTCTGGTTTTGCTTTGTTTTTCTTGATGTAACATTTTGTGTACATGATGAGCATGGGTTGCAGGGTGTTTGCATAGCATTCATTTACAAACCAATTTTTGTTTACCAGCGTCAGGTGCTTTCAGCTCTAAGCCAAATAGCAAAGCATTCTGTGGATCTTGCAGAAATGGTGGTTGAAGCAGAAATTTTCCCAGTTGTACTCACATGCCTGAAGGACTCGGATGAATATGTTAAGAAAAATGCTGCAACTTTAATTAGAGAGATAGCAAAGCATACGCCTGAGGTAAAACCTTGAAAATGCAAATACAAGGTCACATCATTAGATTTTACACTTTAAATAAAATAGAGTATTATTCTGTCATTTCCTTTCAGAAAGGGAGGGCAAAAAGCACTATCAGGTTTCCGTTGGAAAAATATGGAAATGTTGGCTCATGTTCTGAGATGTGAATTGAATAAGAATTGGATTAGAAAAGAAGGAGCAATATATTTACTTAGCTTTTATTTACCAGCAGGTGTCAGTGCAGTGAATGGATATTATGTTAACAATATCATCTGCCCCAAATATTAAAAATCCTAAATCAAGCCCTCCCTCCCCCAAATCATGAGACTGACTTAAAAATCATGTGATTTAAGAACAATATTACATTTAGTATGTTTCAAAATTTTCTTGGGGATCATCAAGCCTTTAGGTCATATTTTAATGGTTTTCCCCAAAACTGTGATGACTAGAATTTTTTTTAAATAGCAGTTTTGATTCTCACATAATCACATGAGTCTATGAATTAGGGTTTGAAAGAAACAAAATAAATATTTCCAGACTTGTTATTAAGTCATGAGAGTTGGCAACACCACATTGTAGCTTTCTAGAGACATGGGAGGTGTTTGCCAAGAAAAGTATGAACTGAATAGGTTAAGCTTATAAATATTTATATGGACTTGGATCCTTCAGAGCATAAAATTTGCATAAAAGCTTTTTAAAATGTGATGCTCTAATGTAATAAAAACTATTTAACATTAAAATGTGTCTATTTATGGAAGCCAATATTGCCAACCTCAGTCATACAAAAATTGTGTAAGTGAATTTAAAATCACAAGAGACATAAATCTGAGGTCTTTTTCCCTGCCTTCTGGCCTTTGAGCCTTTTGGTTACACCTGGGTCACATTTTTTTGCTTCTTTCTGTGCCCAGAAGGCTTAAGATCTTACTTTAAAAAAAAAAAGAAAACTTGAGATTCTCAACTCCAGGAGTCACAGCTAGAAGCAAAAGGTCAAGACTTAAGATAACATTTTGATAGTTTAGCAATACTGGGTTCCTTTGTGAATGATTGCAACAACTTGCTCTAAGTAGGCTTTAAAAAGCCTCCTAATGAATCTCACTCACATTAGAAAGTAATAATCTACATGTTTGACTTCAGAATGATGGATATTGAGCCAGATTTATCTTCCAGTAACTCTACCAAAGAAACATGTCTTACAGTAGAGATAAATCCTCCCCACTGACTTTTCTGGAAAAGCCAGATATGACAGTCTCATGAGGAAGTTGTCCCCATTGTCCCTCATTGTGCAGATACAATGGGATTGGTGCAGGGGTCAGAATGTGGGGAGTTGATGCATGTCCCCAACCCCCTCTGAGCTGTGGAGTGCATCTCCACAGGAGTCCCCTGCATCTGTATTCTCATGCTTATTGTGGTGAAAAAAGGCGAAAGAGGCTGTAGTAGCAGTCCTGGAGTGACGCTGCTGCTGCCCTACAACCTGAGGGGAGGAGGGTTCTCCTTTCCCTCTCTCATCTGCTCCAGGATTTGAGCCTAACTGACTGCATCCAAAAGCCCTGTAAAGAGCTCATATTTTTAAAGTAATAATTTTAAAGGTTGACTAACTAGCTGTTGCATTAATAATAATAGTCCTGTGTTTTAAACATTTTAGAACTTCAAGGCAAACACGGACAAGTTTAAAAAATGTTTATGTACTGCTTTGGGAAATCTGAAGAAAACTTAAATGCAGAGGAAAATACCATTCATGCAAACAGAATTGATTTAATCTTTAGGCACTGATAATGTCAGAAAACCTTGCAAATGCTGTTCTCAAAGTAATGTTAGAAATTATATCATTTGGAAAAAATGTAAATGAGAGTTTAATCTCTGGTATGCATTAGGATCCTAGGCCTGCCTGGTTATAACTTACACCAAGACTGCTCAGAAAAAAATTACATGCACCTATTTTAAGGCTTCTTTTCACTGCCAGAATGGTGTAGTTGGGATTTAGTTTAAAATAATCTGGTTCTATATGTAAATTTCTACAAGTCATTAACATTTTAAGCTTTCATTTTTGTAGTTCTTGAGTAAATAGTAATAGAGTTTGGAATACAAAAGTCTATAACATTTAAAAAACAGCTTTCCTTGCAGTAAAGTTAATAGAAAATAGTAGCTAATGGCCACATGAATGTTTTGCTAGAATTTTTTATACCCATAAGGCCAAATAATGTACCTGATTAATTATTTTACTCCAGTTTTACACTAGTATAATTTGATTAGCAACAGTAGTATTGTGCCTGTTTATAAAAACAGAAGTGATACATTTAAAGATTGATGGAATATATTATTTTATGCTTATAGCTACTCTACAGTGTTTAATCACTCTAGTTCATCTTTTTATTTCCAGCTTTCACAGCTTATAGTTAATGCAGGAGGAATTGCTGCTGTGATTGATTGTATTGGCAACTGCAAAGGAAATGTCAGGCTGCCTGGCATCATGATGCTCGGTTATGTAGCAGCTCATTCAGAGAACCTGGCAATGGCAGTGATCATCTCCAAGGTTAGCTCTTCCTTTGTTTTCTTCCCATAACCATTACAATGAGATTCTGAGGAGACACCAATTAATAGACCCCACAGACTTCTGGATAGAGTGGTATAGTTCTGTTTTGTGTGTTCCTTGATCCTGATCCTGCTAACATTTTGGCTTGTGCATGACATTAAGCATGGGAATAACTCCCCTGACATCAACATCTGGGTCTTTAGTTGTAGTTAAATATTTATAAAGGGATAATTTTGGAGGAAACAGTAAATCTAGAAAAATATTCTATTTCACATTTGGCAGTACTGTTGCACTTACACTGCTAACTAAAGGTAGTCATTCCTTTCTATAATTTATAAACAGATGCCTATTTCATTACATATTGTTAATGTATTATTTGTACCTTTATAAAAAATAACCCAAAGTACAAATATTTTTTTTTAATGTATAGTTTTGATACATAATGATATATTCAGTTATGAGGGCATCTTTTGTAATATTACTCATTCTCTCTGACATGACAGTCTGGTAAAATGGAGTCCTTGATGAGTTATTGCTTTCATAAATATAACTATGGATTAATTTGCTAGCATAATTTTCAACAGATGTGAGGTCTTTCCGCGTTGCACTAGTATACACAGGAAAAATAAATTAATGAATTTGTATGGCTTGTTTCTGAATGTTTGTGGCCATAATGCAGTAGTCCCTTTTTAAACAAGGATCCTTAAACATGCAGATCCTTAATTAATACCAGCATATCTACAGTGCCATAGCTATGGTACACTTAAAACTAAAATTCTCATGCTTACACCAAAGCTTAGTTCCTGAAACACAGTGTTGTTTGATGCAGTCATGCAAATTCTTGATGAGATAACTTGATGTTTGTAAATTTTGAGATGGGAGAGGAATTACCATATAAACAAGAGGCAGTAGAAGAATCGTCTATGTTTTTTAAAGATAATGGAGACTAACATGACATTCTGATGTGGAAAATATTAACAACACAAAAGGCAGGACTATGGAAAGGATCTAAGTGAAGATTCCAGCTTCTACATGTGTGGCCATAATCTGCATGTGTTAGTCATTCTTTGATTTACTATGTAAAAAAGAAAAAAAAAAACAACATTTCTATTAAGAAAAAATAGAATCAGTGTCAAATAATAATCATGCAGAAAAGGTAGAAGTCTTCAATAACTATTTAATGTTTTCCATTTGGAAAACAGGATTAGGTGTTTATGTCACATGAGGATATGTACTCTCCAGTCCATTAATAACTAAAGAGTATGTTAAACATCTGATAGAAATATATTTCTAAATCAGCAGGCCTGAATAGCTCACACCCAAGAGTCCTTAAGGAACTGGCTAAAGAGACCTGTGGCAAGAGAAATTTTTTATAAATCTTGCACTACTGAAGAAAATGCAAAAGACTGAAAGCCTGCATGATTTGTGTCCATATCTAAAAGAGAAAAAGCAATAGCCCCAAATAACTGTAAGCCAGTTAGCTCAATTTCAATCTTGGGCAAAATAAAGTAGAAACTGATGTGGGATTCAATAATAAAGAATTAACTTAATGTGGATTTATGTAAAATGTGATTTCATCCTTTGAAGCAATTACAAATTTGACTGATAAAAATAACTGTAGATTGAATAGATTTGATATGGCCTGTTACTTAGCAGTAGATGACAATTTGAAAACATTGACGCTCTACGGTATCAATAGAGCACACATTACCTGGGGAAACAATTGACTAGTGGATATTTTTAAAAAAAGTCATTAGTGGACAGTCATCACCAAATGAGGGATTCCTAGTGGGGCTCCAAAATAATTTTTTGTAATATTATTAGTCACTGTCTGAAATGATGTGGCATTCAGGCAGGTAAAGCCCTTGATGGGAGGTTTAGACCTATGGTATAGTAAACAATGATCTGGAAGTAAATATGAAGTCACTGCTTTTAAAATTTGCAGATGATGCAAAATTGTTGGAATGGTAAATAATCATATGGACAGGGCAATGTGCACTGTTTGGTAGAACAGATCCATTTAAAGATCCCAGTTACACATTTTGAAACAAGTAATGCAGGTTGTGCCTGCAGAAAGAGTCTGTATCCTGGAGAGCAGTGATTCTGAAAAGTTTGTATAGATCATAGCAGACAAATCTCGTGAGGTTCAATAAGAATAAGTACAAAGTCCTGCACTTAGGACAGAACAATCCCATGCACCAGTACAGGCTAGGGACTGACTGTCTGGGCAGCAGCTCTGCAGAAAAGGACCTGGGGGTTACAGTGGACAATAAGCTGAATATAAGCCAGCAGCATACCCTTGTTGCAAAGAAGGCTAATGGCATATTGGGCTGCATTGGTAGGAGTTTTGCCAGCAGGTCATGCAAAGTGATTATGCCCCTCTGTTCAGCACTGGTGAGGCCACATCTGGAGTACTGTGCTCAGTTTTGGGCCTCCCACTACAGAAAGGATGTGGACAAATTGGAGAGAGTCCAGTGGAGGGCAACAAAAATGGTTAGAGGGCTGGGACACATGACTTCTGAGGAAAGACTGAGGGTACTGGAGACGAGAAGTCTGGAAACAAGAAAACTGAGAGGGGATTTAATATCAACCTTTAACTACTTTGAAGGATGGTTCCAAAGAGGATGGAGCTAGACGAGGGCGGGCAGATCAGACCTGCAGCAGACTCCATTTCCCAGCAGCCCCTGTTGCTGTGGCTGGTTTCCATGGAGACCCCAGTGGCGGTGGCAGTGTGATAGCATGGGGCCAGGGTTTCTATGGAGACTGGTCCCAGCAGTGCTGGCAGGGCATGTAGCTTGACAGAGAGTAGCTCCAGGGCTGGGATCTTGCAGTGGTGACATTGTGGTCCGGAGCCAGGGTAGACCCATGATCTGCTGCCCGCATACCCCAGGGAGGGGTGTGCAGGCAGCAGATGATGGCTCTGCCCTGGCTCTAGACCATACTGTCACCACTGCAAGATCCCAGCCCCAGCCCCAGAGCAGCTTCCCTCCCAATTGTGTGCCCTGCCAGCACTGATGGGGCCGGTCTCCATGGAAATCCTGGCCTCGCCCTGTAACAGCGCTGCCCCTACTGGAGTCTCCATGGCAACCAGCAATGCGGGCAGGGGCTGCTGGGAAATGGAGTCTGGCTGTCAGCCAGATCTGCCGTTTTGCCCATCACTGAGCTAGACTGTTCTCAGTGGTGGCAGATGACAGAACAAGGAGCAATGGTCGCAAGTTGCAGCAAGCGAAGTTCAGGTTAGGTATTAGAAAGAACTTTCTCACTAGAAGGGTAGTAAAACACTAGAACAGGTGACCCAGAGATGGTGTTGACTCTCCATCCTTGGAGATTTTTAAGACCTGGCTAGACAAAGCTTTGGCTGAGATGATCCAGTTGGGGATGGTCCTGCTTTGAGCAGGGGGTCGGACTAGATGACCTCCTGAGGTCCCTTCCAACTCTAATTTTCTATGATTCTATCCACATTTTAAAACAATGTTTGAAAAGTTGGACACTATTCAGAAAAAAAATACACAATAATTGAAGGGCTGGAGAAAGTGACTTGCATTCAAGTACTGGCACAACTTAATCTGTTTATTTTATCAAAAGAAGATTGGGCAGTGACTTGATTACAGCACATCAGTATCTTTCTGGAGAGAAAATCCCAGCTACAAAAGAGCTCTTTTATCTAGCAGAGAAAAGTATAACAAGAACTAACTGCAAAAAGCTGAAGTTGGAGAAGTTCAAATAAAAAATTACAAAGTTTTCCACAATGAGGGTAGAACTTTTGTAACATACTACCAAGGGAGTGCTGGTTTCTTTCTCTTTTAAAGTCTTTAGATCAAGACTAGCTACTTTTCTGCAAGTTATGCTGTTGTCAGACACAAATTATTGGTGTCAATGCAAGGGTAACCAGGTAAAATTTAATGGCTGGATTGTATGATCTAGGGATCAGTCCCCTTCTGGCTTTAAACTGTATTCCTTTTCATAGTTTTACAAAGAAACACTAGAGACCTTAGAATTTTAGGGCATCTGTATATGTGCTCCGGGGAGAGAGGGGCGCTTTAATTGGAGCAGCTCTGAGAGCCTTTCTAACTAAAGCACCTGCAGCGTATTGTGTATTCAGTGTCTTGCACTTCAAAATGGCGACAGCTTTAACTAAAGCTTGTTCAATGAGCTTTAGTTAAAGCACCCCTGTTGCCATTTTGAAGTGTGGGGATGCTGAATACACAAGCCATGGAGGCTGTTGGAGTACACTAATTACTACGCTCCAGTAGACTCAATTAATTGAGTGTGTTCCAACACACTGTAATTACAGTGCATCGGACTAACATCCCCATGTCTACGGGCACCCTCAGTGTTTGATGAAATTTAGAGTTCTACTTTCAGTTGCAACCTGAATTACTTTATCTTCTCACTGACGCCTTTGAAGTAGTTGATGTGTTGGCTCAAAACTACCCTCAGACTCAGTGAAGATGGCAGATTTAATATTCTTACTTTGGCCAGCCTTATACATGGTTTTCTTTTGGTTTTTTAAGTTCTTGCTGTTCATATAATTGTCTTAGAAAAATGACAAGCCCATTGTGTGTTCATCTATAGCAGGGGTGGGCAATTATTTTAGGTGGAGGGCTGCTTAACGAGGTTTGGTGAGGTTTCAAGGGCCACATGGGTAGCCCCGCCCCTTGACAGTTGCCCCGCCTCTTGGTCACCATCTTGGGACTGGAAGTTCCACCCCGAATCCCTGACTTTTGCCACTGGAAGTTGCTTCCCTTGTCCCATGGAAATACTCCTTTTAGGAGCGGGGGTTGCCATCTTAGAACCAGAAAAAAAACTAAATCATACACTAAAAGTCAAACATCTACTATAACACATTTAAATTGTATTACATTTTATTATTACAAAAATAAATATTATTAAAATTTTTTTGTCATGATTTGTGTTTTCATAGTGTATATAGAGATGACTGCATAATAACTCAAAATAAATTTTTAGTCTGTATATTTTGTTGGAAGGTGTGGTTAGGGGTATGTGTGTGGGGCAGTTGTGAGGGGGTGTGGCTGTGTGTCTGGGGCATAGGTTATGTTGAAGGGTTGTGTATATGTGGGGAGAGGGTGTGGGTGTGTGGTGTTTGTGGGATGTGAGGCAGGATGGGGGATGTAGGAACTATCCCCACACTCTCCCCATGGCCTGCAGCCCCAGCAGGCGGTGGCAGTGGCAGCAGTAGGCAAGGGTGCTCGGGGTGCTGGTGCCTGGCGCAGGCGCTGGTGCCCAGCAGTGTGCGGCTCCAGCCACTGCTGCACATCATGGCGAGAGGCGTAGCCCCCACTGGGTCACTTCTATCACTGGTGCTCCCTGCCATGCATGCACAACCCCCACATTTGTGTGGCACGGGAGGGAAGTTCCATGCACTGGAGCCCACTGCCTCCCCTGCCCTGGGACCTGTAACGGGAGCACCAGCAATAGAGTTGGCCTGGCAGGGGCTGTGCCCCTTGTCACAATGTGCAGTGCTGGCCAGAACCATGTGCCACCAGGCACTAGCACCTGTGCTGGGCATGAGTGCCCTGAGCACTCCTGCCTGCTGCTGCCCCTGCCACCACCTGCTAGGGCTGCGCACCATGGAGCAAGTGAATGTGTGTGTGTGGGGGGGGGGGTCCTCACACCTCCCCTACCTTCCCTCACACCCACACCCTGCCCACCCAAACTCCATGCCAGCCTTAGCCTCATGCTCTGTGCTCCTGTCCAGCTGCAGCTCTGCTTGTGTCCCTACCCCACCACTTTCCTATCTGCTGCCCAAAGTGAGTGGGACACTGGGAGAGCTGAGCAGGTCTCCTGGTGTCTGCAGCAGTGGCAGCAGCAGCCCTGCCCAGAAGCTGTGTGCTGGCCAGGCCAGGCCCTTTTGCCCATGGGAGTGGGAGCAAGATGCAGTAGAGTATGTTGTGGGGTTCTGTATACATGGGCGCCTCACTCCGACCCTTGTGGATGGAAGGGCTGGGCAGGGTACAATTCGTTGGTGGCTGTCATGGGCCAGATGGAAGTGCTTAGTGGGCCGGATTTGGCCTGTGGGCCATATTTTGCCTGCCCCAACCTATAGCTTATTTTAGCCAGAAAAATTTGAACAGAGAAATAAGCTTTTTCTGATAACCAGTATCATCAGTACAAAGTCTTTGAGTCCTACTCTAGATTCATAATGTGTGTACTTTTGAATAATGTTACAGGGGGTGCCACAGCTGTCTATCTGCTTGTCAGAAGAACAAGAAGATCACATTAAGGCAGCAGCTGCTTGGGCCTTGGGACAGATTGGAAGACATACTCCAGAGCATGCACGTGCTGTTGCAGTAATAAATGTATTACCAGTGCTGCTTTCCCTGTACATGGAAACAGAAAGTTCAGAAGATCTCCAAGTGAAAGTATGTGTATTCACTATGTCTGAAATACGTATTTCTTTTCATTATCATGTGTAAGTCCTTCAGTGCTACAGAGTATTATTTTTATTGATCTTCAACATGATTATTGCTTCTAGTAAATGAACTCTTTCTAATAGAGTATTCTTTCTTTGTACATATGGGCCTTTCTTATAACGTAGAGCTGCTGTCAGCATGAAAGAAGTTTGCATTTTTTACTGGCTTGAAAAAAATCACTCTCAGGAGTAAACAACAGTTCCTATTTATGGCCATCCTTGCATTTCTGCCGGGGTGGCAGTCACAGCTTGCCTGTCAGAATTTGTTCAAGTATACTTTTGTGAGACATTACATGAACTGACAGGAGAGTCAGCTGGAATGTAACTGGTTCCAGATATGTTAAGTTAGAAGACCACTTCTACATAGTCATTTTTAGTGGCTACCAAAAAATAAAGGCCAATATTCTCTGAACCGACCGTCCTTCATGATGAGGTCATTGATCTCTGTGGTAGCCAGCACAGTGCCGTGTCATGCAGGAGTCAAACTCGTTGGAATAATGTGCTTTTCTTGCCTGGGTGGCAGAGCATTGTGCTGCCTAGCCTGACCTGCTCTAAAATGTCATTTAAAAATGTGTTTTGGCTTAATTTGCTTATCACGTGACAGTGTTTTAGTTTACAGAAGGACCTCCCCCTGCTTCCACTGTAGTCAATGGAAAATTGCTATCACTCTAACTGTAGGCAACGTGACAGGAATACGATACAACGAGGGTTTTGAGGTTTAATAAGCCAGAGCCAAAAATGGATTCTTCGTTACTTGATAGAAAATCTTAATTTTGATTCCAAAAAAATGCTCTTTTGAGATAACTGATAAATAACAAATTGATAAGACTTCAGACTCCAGGAATTGGGGTCATGAATTGAAGCTGTTGTTACATTGATATTTTACTATAGACACTTTGGTTCATATTTCAACAGACTAAAAAGGCCTTAAAAAACATCCTGCAGAAATGTACATATTTGCCAGCACTTGAACCCTTGCTGCATGATGCTCCTCCCAATATTTTGAAATATGTCATTGGGCAGTTTAGTAAGGTAAGAAAGTCTCTTTACAGTGAATGATCAGATTGCCTGTCTTTCATTTGGATAGCGTGCTGCTGGCATCCAAGTGTGAAGTATTCTTAAACCAATCTGGATGTTTTTTGCAGAGAATGGGGAAGCCTTACAGTGTTTTGCATTTTATTAACCTAGTACCCAAACTGGACCAATCTGCTCATCTACCTGATGAAAGCTGAATAAAGCTGTTTCTGGAGCCTGTCATTGTTAATCCTAAATTGGGATAAAGCAGTTGTTCTTAAGCAAGACACTCTGCTCCTCCCCTGGCTCTAGGATTAGCCCTATGTAGAGAACCTGTACTAAGTTATTGCATCATTTGAATCACACCGGGTGTGTCTATATGTACACTTTAATGCACAGTAGCCTATTTTAATGTGCATTAGAGTGTTATGGCAAAAACTGTGCTAATGTGCTAATGCACAGTAAAATTAGGCTACTGCACATTGAACATCACTACAAAAGAATGTGCTTTTGCTATTGTGCATTAGGGCAGCCTAATGTGAATTTAGTTACTACCTTACATTAGTGATACTAAATTTAATGCACAGTAGCAAAACCACATTAATGAACATGTAGGTGCACCCACTGAAGCCCTGTTTTAGGCCTCAGCACAGGAGTGATTTAAATCAACTAAAAATACTTCAAAGTAAAATTTTATCCACTCTGTTTAGCAGTAAGTGCCAGATTTTCTTAGTGATATGTTCCTTCTGGAAATGGCCGGATGAAGCACTCTGATATTATCCAGTGCAGACTACCACAAACATAGAAGTGCTGCTGTTTATACTCCTGTTACTACATTTAGCTTTATTCTGGCCTTCTTGCTAAATCTATACAAAGATTGCAAATTTATTCAAATGCTAACACTGTTTTGCTTATGTAGACTGACCAGAGCTAGTTAGGAAGTGAATGCATAGTAGCTAGTTACCAGTTGTAGACATTTTTATGAAAGCCATTTCTAAAGCTGTAAATGGCTTGGCACGCTATGTTGGTAAGCATGTTGGCTCCTCATACATTGCATTAAGCAAACTATACTTGGGGACTTTTGACATCCCAACATATATATTTAAAATAAAGTTCTTTGCAGTAAATACATTTGCCTCTCCTGTGCCATGACTTAGAAATTTTCTCTCCTTGGACATTAGGAATATTTCTTCCATTAGCTCAGTTATAGCTGAGTAAAAGTCATGTTTTCTAAACTGTACTTTATTATGGAAAAGTGTGCACACTTAGGACTGGGCTATACCATTTAAATACCTCCCTGAGAGGAGTCTTTGTATCATCGTGCTTCCTCTTTGGAGGCTGGGGGAGGAGATTGAGCTTCAAAAGTGCAGAATCTCTCTAAGGCTTCTTTTGCACAAGAGGAAAGTGTGTCCTGCTTTCCTATCCAGTTCTGGAAGTCAGCATGTCAGGGGGACCAGTGAGATGAGCCATGGTCCCTTTTATGTAGTTTTTGCCTCTTGGAGGCATGTGGAAGACCAAGTCCCTGCAATTCTCAAAGTGAAGGGATTCCAGTTGCTCCTGTCTCTTCCTGTATGATGGATAGGCCAGTTTGATGTTTAATCATTGCTGGTAGAATGTGAATTAAATGTACGATGGGTAGAAAGGAGTGTTGGTTGTAGCTGTGTTGGTCTAAGAACATAGGCAGACAAGATTTACTTTAGCTTCTTTTTTACCTTGGAGAACTCATAATATCTGCAGTCTCCCATTGCCTGAAGAAGGGTCTTTGTGTCTGAAAGCTTGCAAAGAACTTTTCCACAACTATTTAGTCAGTCTAATAAAGATATCACATCTACCCAAAGAACTGTGCCTGCCTGATGCGTAGAAAGTTTATTGCCCAGGATCCTCTGCTGGAGAGATCTGTATTATCAATGCCATTTGGAAGGCTGTAAAATCCATCTACCTATCATTTGTTTCCCATCACTTTTGTGATTTGTGATTTTGAATTCTTCCTTTATGTGAAACAGAGAGAGAGGCCTACCATTGCTACAGAGAATTGTGGGATTAAATAGCCAGAAATTTAAGACTTGTTGATAAGCAGCATCCTAAGTCTACTTATTTACTTGCGAGTATTGTCAATATTATTTGCCTGAAATAAACCGTAGATCGTTAGAATTACCTAAAATCTGCTGTACAATTAAACAGCATGAACCAAAATAAAAGACTGAATAACTCAATGATAGTGGGGCAGGTGTTGTTATTATTCCTTGTTAGTATTCTGTTGTTATTACTCTGTTAAATTTTCCTTATTGCCTTTGTAGAAATCATTTTAAAATAGTAGTTACACAAAGAGTGTGAAATAAGCAGGTCAATATTTTGTATTATTTACACTATTATGTCTTAAATCTACATCTCAGTCTGTGTTGCAGACAAAGAGAACTAAGTCATGATTTAACTGTCCCTATGTAATCAACAGCAAACTTAAAACGTAACAGTTGTTTCAGGAGAGGCTACATCTCTGAATATTGACTGTAATTCTGTTTGATCTCATTCTCCATGTCTATAGTGTCCAATTTTTTTTAATATTAAAGCTTTGCAGCACAGAGACTCCTTTAAGAGAAAAAGGGTCACACTTTTACTATGCACTTCATTATTTGCAGGTGCTACCACATGATAGCAAAGCCCGACGTCTCTTTGTAACAAGTGGTGGACTTAAAAAGGTTCAAGAGATAAAAGCTGAGCCTGGGTCACTTCTTCAAGAGTACATCAACACTATTAACAACTGCTACCCAGAGGAAATTGTAAGGTGAGGAAAATGAAATCCTAACAATTCATAGTTATAACCTTCTTAGATGGTTTTTAAAGCAGTAGCACAAAATGGGATTTCAAATGTAATTTAAGGTATGGGTGAATTCTCTTTTTAAAATAATAACTTTTGGTTGCAAGTGCCAAATAGTAGCATGACCAGAAAAATCAGGCAGGTATTTTCTTGTCTTCATGAACACTATCTCTTTGCAGTTGTTTTTCAAGGTTAAATTTACCCTTTCAAAGCCCAATCCTTGGGTTTCTATATGGAATTAAGTAGGAGTTGGGGGTGGGTATTTGTTACATAGAATCCAGGTAATAATGGATCCTGCGATGTTTTGTGGTTTCCCCCACACTCCTCTGATTTAGTATGTTCAGAGGCTGCTCTGAAATGTTCTCCAGTGCAGGAGTAGAATCCTGATTTTTCTTGCCCAAATGGAAGTTGTGAAGCTGCATAACTGATGTTTTTGGCACGGAAACAGAGTTTAGGATCCTATTCCATGTATGGTGTGGATGTATAAGCATCCCCACGGCTGCTAAGCATGCTTAATAGTATGTGCCCTGGCTGGGCAGGTAAACAGCCTCTGAAGCCCACCTGGGAGAACATAAGCCACAAAATTGTAGACTGGCAGTAAGCCATAATTAGTGGGTGTTAAATGTCAGAGGAAGAGGGCCCTTTGAAGTTTTAGTTTTATAAGCTTGTAGTTAGGGCATTCGCTCAGGAAGCAGGAGACCCAGTTCTAGGTCTCCCTCACTCATAGGTAGCTCAAAACTACATGTTTGTGTCTTTCCAGCATGGTGCTCTAACCACAAGTTAGGCATTATCTAGTACCGTACCAGCCCTCCTTATAAATCTGGCCCCCTGTGCGGTCAAGAGAGTGAGCTATGTGGAGCCCAAAGGGAAAAGATCAAGCTAGGGGGTGTGCAGAATAGTGAATTGAAGGCTGCCCTCAAAGGGAAGGAGCCCTGGGCTCTATTCTCCAGTGGGGTAGAAACTTACCCATTATTATCCCTCCCTTTTATTCAGTGGGGTATGGAAGGTACAGTGGCTTAGCTGCAAGGGGTGGGCTGGAGAAGCTTCAGGAATAATACATGACCTTTTGGCTAGGTCAAGGTGGTAGAAAGTTAGGGAACCAAAGGTTCAAGCCCTTTTTGGGTGAAAGGAGCATAGCTGGGTCTCCTGCTTCCTGCATGAATATCTTACTTGGGCTGAAATAGAGGAAGGCTCCCTCCTTTGTCTTCTGTTTTTTACTCAGTTACAGTCCTTCCCTTACGCTTATATGAGGGGTTGGGGTGGGGTGCATTTGGAGCCTTGTATTTGGCCAGAGGGCAGCCTACTGTGCATGGTCAGTAGCCACATGGGCACACACTGTACACAGAATAGGATTAGAAACTGCAGAAGTGCCAAAGATGGTTACACAGCTGCATAACTGCCATTTGGGTAAGTGAGATAGGATTTTGCCCAAAGTGCACATACTTCTTGCATGGTTGCTGAGCCCGCAGCTGCCCCTCCTCCAACATAATTGTGAGGCTTAAATCTTATATAAAGGGGCCAAGCACCAGCTGTCTGGACCAAGATGAACTTTGCCCTTAATGAAAAAGGAACCCTATTGAATAACTTACACTTAAAATGTCACCAGTCTTAAATTGTAATAATTTGAGATATGTCCTCTTGGATTCTAGGTATCCATTTACCAGTACTTAATTCCATCAACACGTTTAAAAAGATGTTGCGCTCCTGCTTCCCCTCTGCTGATTCTCTGCAGCTGCATAATCCGTTTTAATTACTGTTAACACTGTTTGTTATCTAATAGCTGCTGCTAACTAGAAGTTGCACAAAACAAAGACCTGTATGTTTTCACAAGGGGAAGAGTCAGTGACTGCCAACTGTTAAATTGGTGTATTTTCAGGCTACGAAGGTATCGATACAGACAAAAAGACAAGGCCTCTTTATATGTAAACTTGCTGGCCATAACTCATGTTTCCCTGTGTTGGAAAATGTAAAGAATGAAATAAGTGGAGTGATAAGAAAAATGACCCCTTTGCATAATAGAACTGCAGTGGTTCTGTGGCTAAATGATCCTGGTTGAATTTGTGCATTAGAATTGCTGTTTCAGCTTGCCTGCTTGTAGACTCAGGAACAAAGCACTCAATCAATATACATTTGGAAAGTTATCTTTTTAAACCAGAAAACCAAAAATGTATTTTTAAAAATATTTTTACAAATTTTAAATCTGCAGAAAATATAAGGAATAAGGAGAATTGAAACCCCATACATGGTAGCTTTGGGGATTTCTGTTTGAAAATTTTCAGGCATGTATTACATGGAAGCTTGCTCCTCTCTCCTTATATCCTGCTCATCTCAAACACTAAACTGACAAAACTAATCCTGTGTAGATCTTTAGAAGTGTACTTCAGTTTGTGCTTTTAAGAAAACAAAGTGATAAGCCTCAGATATTATATTGATGGGTAAGGCATAAGAACATGGGATACACATCAAAGCAAAAACATTTGCCATCCTCCAACTGGTCTGTTAAAGCTGATCACAAGGCAGCTGGTCACAATGATTAATAAGTATCTATTGACTGATGTCCATTGTTCATTTGATATAGAAATAATTTCCTTGTAATAAAACATGGCTATTAGTTCAATATTATTTTATTTAACATTGCCATTGCTTTAGTTTTTAGTGCACACTCTTGCATTTCACTGGCAACAGTAGACCATTATCCTGTGACAACCTACAGTTCTGAATGTAAAACTCGTGTTTTGCATGAAGGACCAAAGAGTTTTACAAGAACTCGATCTCCAGCAGCTCCATTGAAGATAGTGCTGTTGGGTGCTGAGTCTTCTTGACATTCTGACCCCAGCAGAACACACCACTTTTGAAAATCTGATCCTGTGGATCTGAATAAGTAACATTCACATCCATTTTGCACAGATACAAAGTTATTACATGAGAAAGCAGGCCCTTACAGTATTTCAATTCCCTGAGGTATATTCAAAATTTAACAGTAGAGATTTTTTTCTATCAACACATGACACATTAATAGAGTTTTAGCATTTAGTATACTGCATGTTTCCCTGTCTTATACACAGACAAAATGTTTCTCTTTCAGGTATTATTCTCCTGGATATTCTGAAGCACTTCTGGAAAGGGTGGAAAATTATCAACCTGTTCTATAAACTCTTCATTTTTTCTGTTATTAAAAGCCTTATTTCACATTTGTACTTTTATGACATTGCAAATACAATTTTGAAACTCTTGCCAGATTCTAAAATGCTCACCTTTCTGAACTATTAATCACTGTTATAAATCTTTTGTCATTTTGAAGAAATAATCTTGACACCCTGAGGTAAGTTTAGAAAAGAGATTCAGAAAATAGATTCTTCAAGTCAAGTGTTCATTTTTTCCAAAATCCATATCTTGTAGGGTGCTGAGGACTTTTAGGATGTTCTTGTGAATTTTCTTTAACACCTGTGTAGTCTAGCAAGCTGTATTTTATTAATTATAAAATCATTGCTTTCCAAATTTTGCTCCTTCCTTTTTTTCTCTTTCCTCACTCATCAATGTATCACCACCCAAGAGTGGTAGTTTGTGACACACAGGCTAGGTACAAACATTCAAAAAGATTGAGGAGGAATTGATTTAAGTTCTGTGGTTTTCTGTAAGCAGTGTAGTTTAGATCGGTAGTGAACAGAACACGTATTTGCCCTTTGGTTGAGGGGGGGATCTTATACTGGGTTCTGCCATTTTTAAACCAGTCTGTGTGCGTTGAACCTCTATTCTGGTTCTGTTATGGGTATAGACCAGTTTTGTGTGCTGAACTTATGTTCTGTTATAGCTATAGTGTGGTTTCCAATTGCTCATGTCAGTAAAAGTGGAATGTTTGTACCTGGTCACAAACTCTGCAGAATCAGTCCTTATCCTTTACTTCCTCACAGAGAGTAAATGGAACCAGGCTTTGCCCCTCTGCCCCCCTCCAGCATTGGAACAATTACTCCCTCTGTGCCTTTATATACAGTTTAAAGCATCATCTGTCAGGGACAACTTTGCTTTTTTATTCTGTAGTCTGTGTTCTGTTCTGAAATGTTCCCAACTCACTTTGGAAAGCAACAGGCTATTTCTGCAATGACATTTGAGGTCTGAAGATGTCTGCACCTCTACACTTACAGCAAGGCTATCCTGATCCACTGTAATTAGAGTGGTAATTACTGCACTCCAGCAGATTCCAGCATCATGTGTATCAGCATTCTCACACTGAAAAATGGTGGTGGGGGTGCTTTAACTAAAGCTTGTTTGATGAGCTTTGGTTAAAGCACTCCCAGCACCATTTTTCAGTGTGGGAACACTGATATCCATGACACTCCGGGCATTTTAATTAGAGTGGAGGGATGAGACTCTCAGAGCCACTCTAATTAAAGTGGACTCCCTCGCCCTGGTGCATACACACACACTCCTAAGAACACATGTTTAAATGCCCTTGGGACCTAAAATAGACAAGCCATTAGATCTGACCACGATATAAGGGCCATATTCTGCCTTGTTTGGTGGAGGCAGCATGGTGAATGAGGGATGCTAGCTATTGCATCCTGTACAGGAGTCCTGCAGGTCAAGGCAAGATTTCTCATGAAGGCAACGCATCATACTCACATCTTTGATTCTCTGAGAAGGGAGAGAGTGAGCAACCAGCAAAAACTTCCTGCAAGTGCACCAGGGACTATCGCCTGTAAGGTCTTGCAATAATCAGAGCACTTTTAACCTAGCTGAAGATAGTGAGAGCACCAAGGGTATTCAGCATCTGCTCAGTCACAAGTGACACAGGCAGACTCTGCATGTGGTATGTGACAGATCAGGGAGGGGACATGCAGCACAGCAGCAGATAAGACAAGAAGCATACAGCAAAGTAGAAGATCAAACAGAGAGCACAGGGTAGGATACAGAAACCAGAGCAGCAGACTGGGTAGCAGAATGGTATTGGAGTGGCACTTAGTGCAGGTACAGGGCTAATTTGGTGCACACATGCAAAAAAAGTTAGCTTTCACTGTGCTGCACCCAGGAGCCCACAAGACTGGTGCCAAGAATAATGTCTGTAAGGTACTCAGTACCTTAAAAAAGAAATTAGGGGTACTGTTCTCAGTGATTTAAGTGGGAGAAGTTGAGGTTTTTTCAGTGCTTGGAGACTATCAGTATTCTGTGGAATTGGGTCCAAAGAACTCTGGAGCCTAGATAGGATGCCCGTCATTGCAGATCAGATCCACTTGGATATGACCCACTCACTGGAGCAGTTTGGAAAGATTTTACCCTGTTATGTGGTATGAAAAGACAAGTAGTGTAACAAAGGCAGCGGAACAACCTAAGTGCCAGCCTGGGGTGGGAAACTGGCAAAAATAGCAGCAGCTGCTGTGCTGCTTGCCTGATTGTTGGCAATGCAGCAACTGAAGCTGCACCCCTCCCCCCTCCCTCTGTGCCCATGTTGCCCAGAGTGCTCAAGCACCCAGTTACATCTCTGGAAAATACTCTTAATTTCTATTTACCCTTCTTGTATATCAATGCAGCACAGGGCAGCAGTTGCCCTTTAGTATTCATTAACTTACCTGGAATTGTCTTTTGTTGTTCTTTTTGTATTACTGTGTTCCTCCTTGTTAACATGTGATGTTTTCTTTCAAAGAATATAACCATTGTTTCTGGAATAGAATGCTGAAACATTTGCAACTGTAAGGGAAGATGGAGTTTAAGAACCCCTGCAGGAAAAATAAGGTTTTTGACATAAATAAAATGTGTCAAATGAACTTTTTCCCTTCCTTAAATATGTTAAATGACTAAGTTTATAAAACAGGTATAATCTTTTCCAGGACTTATAAAACAGGAGCAAAGCTTCACTGTAGTTGGAAATGATTTAGAGCGGGCTTCTTCTGCTGAATTCTAAATTACAGTACTATGTTCTTTTATACTTGTCAGCATCTTTTTTAGCAGTTCAGAAAAATATCTCTGGGCTATCTAATGTAGAGGCCTAATTCTGCAAATGGCTGAATGCTGCAATGAGGTGTTGAGTGCTGTCAACTTCTAAAGTGCCTTGCAGTTATGTAGCCCTAACTGAAATGGAAACAGAACAGGTCCGTGAATTCAGATGTTAAACCATTTTATAAACTGTACCAGCTGGGTTCTTTCTTTAGCCACACCAGAATAAAAACACACTAAAAAGGCTTGGAGCTTCATACATTTTAATCAAAGTGCATTTTTCTTTTGGCTTAATATTCTGCCATTATTAATGCTAAGGAAAAACTTCAGATCTTGCAAACAATTACTGTAAGGCTGTATACATTTTCTTATGCATACAGGGACACTTAGTACATTAAACTCTATAGAATCCCCACCGGGATAATGTAGAATAAATTAATTAAACCAGCAAACATAAAGGGACCCACAGTATGTATTTTCTTTCAGGAAAGAAAATGTCCTATCACACCCTTTAACTTAGGGGTTTTCAACCTTTTTTAACAAGTGTACCCCTTCTGTCTCAAAGTTTCAGCTTATGCATCCCTTCATATTTTTTTGCACACCACTACAGCTGCCCCAGGAACTGCGTGATGCCATGTGCCTGCTGCCATGGGGCTGCGCTGTGCCCCTTGCCTACCTGGTGGTGGGATGCACATGGTGTTGCAGCGGTAGCTGTAGTGGGGTGCAATGTGCAGTGCACAGTGGCAGCCGCCTCTGCCCCACACACAGATCGGGGGGTGGATGCACATGCTCCTGTGCCTCTGCTGGGGTGTGCACAGTGGCAGGAACTCGGCAGCCCTGAACGAGTCTCCTGGGCTCCGACCCAGCACTCGGCCCAGCCAGGGCCCCATTCACCCCAGACCCTGCCCCTGCTTGTGCCCTGCTCCCTCTCTCACTGTGGGGCCCTCAATATGCCCCCTATGCCCCTTCCTCCTCCCTTCCCCCCACAGATGTACCTTCTGGGGCAGGTATGGAGTTGACAACCACTGCCTTAACTGATATATTGTATATTTCCCAGGGATCCCATGTGGTTATAGTTTGGGATCTAAACACATAGGCCACAGAGTTTTAAACCTTTCTAATATCGTAGAAAATCCCAGGGTAGTGTCAAATCCTGGCATGTTGCTACAATGAAGAGGAATGATGATGCTCAGCAGTAAAGTGTCAAAGTCTACACGTGTTGGTATTAGGGTGGAGTAAATTAATTAACTTCACTGTAAGATAGTAGTGTTGGGGACTACTATCTTATGGTGGAGTCATTAAGTGTGATTAAACACATGTGTAGACAGTGTCAGCCTTTGTACACATGCATGTGCCCTGCACTGTAGCACATGCAGTTGTATAAGCAGCAAAATGCACATCAGTGCTGAGAAAATGGCAGCAGCACGCTTTTGAAATTAAACACCTCAGAGGGGCTTTAGTTCAAAAGTGCACTGCTGCCATTTTCTGTGTGCTGATGCACATTTCATCACTTATACAATTGCATGTGGTGCAGTGCAGTTCACATCAGCTTGTGTGCAGAGCAGACTCGATTAATTGAGTCTGCTTCATAGTGACGGATCTCCGGTGCATCATGGGATGAAAATATGTGTATAGATGCCCTGTGTGCCTGGTCAGGCCAGCCAGTGTGGGGCCAGACCCCTGGCTCCTGTCAGCCCCTCAGCCACTTGAAACTGCCACCTGGAGCCTGGGGCTGACCCCCGCTCCTCTCCCCCCTCCCATGTCCCCTGCCAAACTGAGGCTGCTCCACCCTGGCTCAAATTGCTGCAGTCCTTGGCACACATGTAGACACTACAGTTGGGAACAGTTGACTCCAAATCAAATTTCTTTGGAGTTTATTGTATTGCATTAATTTCATGTGTCATTGCACCCTGGTTGCATCTACATGAGATGCTTACTGCACAGTAGTAACAAGCTCCTTAGTACTTCGCAGCAGTACTTGGTTATGCAAGTACTAAATGACTGTGCTGTAACAACTTGCTGTGTCTGGGCACTGTGTATGTCTGGTTGGGATGGATCACATCCATCAGCATGGACTGCAGGCACAGTGAGATGGCCTTCGCTACCACCTTGTAGTCCATGCAGAGGAGGGACGTGGGACGCCAATTCCTTAGGTTGTGGGGGATCTCCCTTCTTTGACAGGAGGCTCAGCACAGCCCTCCCACTTCCCTCGGATTTGGCTCAGACCACAGCAAGGTCTGGGCCGAGGACGTCCCAGAAAGCCCGGTAGAATTCTGAGGTCAGCCTGTCGATGCCCGGAGCCTTGTTGCCAGGCAGAGGGCAGAGGGCAGCTGAAAACTCAGCCAGAGTGAGAGGAGCTTCCAGCCAGTCCCAGTCACCCATGCTGAGCTGCAGGAGTCCCTCCCACAGGGTCTGACAGGCCTTGGTGCATCTTGCCTGGATCCGTGACGGGGGTGGGGGGTGCCATATTTCTTGTAGAAGAACAGGGCAGGGGGCCCTGGAGAGGAGGCCCCCTGCCTCATCTCCAGGGCATAGAAGAAACAGGAGCTGCAGTCCATCTGCTGAAGGAGCTGGATGCACAAGTGGACAAATGTATCGCAGGTGCGGTGGTCATCCAGAGCATGAAGATCTTCCTGCCTCTCCCAACACTCTCCGCAGAAGGACGGGTTGGTTGGGTCGCTGGCCAGGTGCCTCTCCAGCTCTAACACTTCCTGCTCTAGCTACTCCCAGGCCACCCACCTCTGCCGGGTGTGCCCCTGAGTAGCCACGGCAAAAAAGCCAGATGCGTGCCTTCCTCACATCCCACCGTCTCCAAGCCAAGGCAAAAGCTGCCTGTTGCTCCTGCCAAGCCAGCCAGAACTCCTGAAAATCCTCCCTGAAGCCCATATCCTTCAGCAGGCTGGCATTGAGATGCCAGTAGACCGACCCTGGACGCCCAGGTCCCAGCATGGCCTGGGCTCAGACAAAGTGGTGATCGCTGAAAGGGGTCAGCCAGATGCCAGAGGAGTGGGCCCAGGCAAAGTGCGGCAAAGAGATATAAACTCAGTCTAACTGGGAGAGGCATCTGCTCCTCCCCCACCCTCACATAAGTGAAGGCAGGGGGTTCAGTGGGGTGACAGGCATGCCAGATGTCCACCAGGGAGTAGTCCATCAGGATCTCCCTGAGTACGCCGATGGCGGCCTGGTTCCACTCCTTGCCTGACTGGTCTCATGCACCTATGGTGACGTTAAAGTCCCCGCCGAGAACCAGGCATTTGCGAGAGTTGAGGGTGCTGATGTATGTGGCTGCCTGGTGGAAGAAATCTGCCAACTCCAGATCCTTCACAGGGGCATACACATTC